TAAAATCATTTACGCAAGCATCTTAATCACCTAATACTAAAGTAAAGTCAATAATATTTTAAGTTAAAGGCGATAAACTAGGTATTTGCACGAAAGACTTACGAAATTTTTTCAGTCTACTAGGTCAACCTTCTGTCTATTTACTTTTTGCTTACACATATCTTATATTATTTTAATTTGCATGTGGCTGAGGCAATTACATTTTATTATTTGCAGTACCTTGCGCAAAACACGTAAGACGCTTTGTCAGTTGTGGCTTGCAGTGTGGGCCGCTCAAATTTTTACTCCAAAGCGTGTGGTTTGTCCCGTTGTCTCCGTGCCTCTAGAGTTGACTTTCTAGCCTTTACAATAAATTAATCGAAAATGTCATTGAAAGAGCAGTTAAAAAGACTATCTTCTCCGGCTTCCGCTGCCTTTGCTGTTGACGCTGTCAGGCGGAAGTCTCTCGTTTATGATAACCCCCAGTCAGTCGATGCACAGACATGTTACCGAGATTGTATGTCATGTTGACTATAACCTTTTGTCTTAGGTTTGAAAGCTTTTAATAGATTGTGCGATGTTGACCCAGAACTAAGGCGTCTTAGCGAGACGTTGTTTTCCTCCTCATCTATCAAACTTCGAATGTGTAATCTACATCCCGCTCATAAGGAAAGGATCGACGAACAAATATCTTTATTCATGTTTTTGATCAATACGCATGTGCGATCTCCTGATGCTATTTGGACTTTTGAGTGGTTGGTATACAAGTAAGTTTCTTACTATTCCCTCAACTGATTTCAGATTTGAAATACACTTGCATTATCTCGATGAATTTATGATGGTTCTTATTCCACACTATGAGACGGGTTTCTTCGCCAGTTGTATACAACTTTTTGACTATAAGAATCTGTCTCCCAATTGGCAATGGCTGCAGCCCTTCGCTGAGTGCGGACTGCCTTTGAGTCGTCAGGATTTTCTGAAAGCTTGCTGTAGTCAACCACATCTTGTTCCCTTTATTGGGATGTGCATGTGTACTTATGCTAAAGTAAGGTAGACGTTTGTTTGATCCACCATTTCCTGTAGTATGAGAGTCGTCTCCATTTGAATAGGATTCAAACCTTTGCAAGCTTTTTCGTTTCTTCCGTGTCCGGATTATGTGACCTGGGTTTATCGGAAAAGAAGATTACGAAAATAATGAATGCATTGCAGGGCACAATCAGGAAGGGTTTGCGCAGCAGTGATGTGTCTTTTCGGTCCGCCGCCAGCATGATAATCGTTCGTCTTGCTCTCTCCTTAAAGCTCAACCATGAATTGGTCCTAGACTGGATTCGATGCATCCTCAAGGTAGGGCGTTGATTGAGGTCTGCACGTTTATGACATACTGAATTGTGCACTAGCTTTTAACTCTAGCATCACAAGGATGGTGCCGAATGGGAAATTCTTCGAATCAGCAATCTTTTAATGCGAACTCAGTGCATTACCGCTTTGCCCGACGAGTAAGTTTTTGACAATACTTTTTTTGTTAAAAACGGAGAGCATTCTTATTATTTGTACATTCTAGTCTCTCAGTGCTGCATGAAAAGCTGCTAGCTTTCCTAACGCCTCTTGAGCGTGCTTTACTCGAAAAAGAAGAAGGCAAAAATTATGAAAATTTGGATGATAACGAGCTTGCGTCTAGTAGTTTAGAGCAATCAAAGCGCGTCCAAAAGGCTACGTTGGTATGTTCATCAATTTTACTACTTTTTTTCAAATGTTTTGCTTTTACGCTAGCATTATTGTAGGTAATGGACGTAAATACCTGCAATCAAAGTAAGCCTTGGACATCGCTACCACCCAACATGGCAGGGGCGGAATCTCGACCTTTGCTAACAACTAGACGAGTACTCAGAATGACATTTGACGAGTTGTTCAGTGGTAATCCAGAGTTGTATAAGCTATTTGATACCGTGCGTATGAAAATTGGAAATAGTGGAGTATGTGCGATAAATCATCCTGCTGGGAAGTGCTCTTGTCTGGAGGCGCCGAACATAGAGACGGACGACTGTTGGCTGGCTGATTTTCTCATTGTTGCGGTACTGCAGTGCACCCAATCAGCACCACTAAAGGATGAAGCGGAAGACGAAGGTGTGACCGCCGCCCTTAAGTTACGTCAGTGTAAAGCCGCTCTTCAGACAGTCGCACGTGCAATCGATGCCGCACAGTCAATTAAATTGCCATCTCGACATTCCCCGAGATCACACAATTCATACTCTCCAAGCTCAAAGCCTTTCCAATTATTGGGCGCGTTGGACAAAGGTACGTTCAGATCTATTTAGATCTTTTTGCTAATGAGGTACGTCTGAAGAACCACATTGAGTTTTTGAATGAGCATGCACACCGGTTTCTGTAAGGGTGACGGAGGCAAGAATTTTTACTATTAATAATCGTTTTCTAGCTTTTCCCTGTGTGTTGGCCACATTGCTTCATCCAAGTGGAGATATTCGCGTGGAAGCTTATGGTCTACTTCAGCGTTTCGTCGCGGTGTTTGAGAAATTGCCTCCTACTACATGCTGTCCAAATGTGGATGGCTTCTTGTCAGACTTAAAGTCCGATGAAGGCATTATTCCTGAATCATTGAAGCAGTTGCTTCAAGGTGACGCATTGCCAGCACTGGTCCACATCTCCTCTAGCCTCGTCCGATCGGTTTTTCGGTTGTTCTGCAGGTACGTATCTTCTGAATTGCCAGCTGTACTGTTGTGACGGAGTTTTAAACTGTAATTTGGAAACGCTTTTCAGACAACCTCTAAAGGACACACCATTTTCTCAGATGTGCTGGTATTCTGCAACCCAACTTCTGGACAACAAACTGTTACAATCGATTTTTGATATAATTGGTCCTCCTCCGTTGGAGAGAACTGATGCAGACTCGCTGACTGGGTGGTCAGCTCTGCTTCAAGTAATCCGATGTCCCAAATTCATCAGATTCAAGGTTGCGCACGAAACTTGTGTTGATAAATTTGATTCTTTCACGTTGCAAAGTCTTTCCGCTTTGTCAACTCCTGCACTTGGAAGGAGTGAATTAATTGGAATTTCCTTACATGAGGCTGAATTTCTTGGTGCTCTCATAGATCTTGCTGGTTCGCAAACAATGTCACGAAATGTGTCCAACTTATTTTCGAGAGTACGTTGTTTCAAAAACCACTATTATTTGGAATAATACTGTTTTAACTACTTTCACTGGTCTGCCTCGTTTGTAGCTGCGCCTGAGTACTGACCATTATGTCTACTGCCTTGCAAGATTGGATCCAGTTCATACTCGCAATTCTCGTCAACCTCTATTTTTGAGAGTATCAAATTCTAAGTAAGCTCTCCTTTCTTATTGTATGGTTAATCTTTTTATTCCCTTATTGATACGTGCTTAGACAGGTCGGTACATCAACCTGGACTCTAGAGTACCCCGTGATTTTCCATTAATTTCCTAACTGATTACCCATTCTCATACTTTCTACTTACCACACTCCAGTTATGCCGCTAATTGGTCTAAAGATGGTGTATTATACGATTTATACTTCACTCAAGGGTTCGAAATGATCATAATTACGGAAGAACTATCAACGTAGAGGAACCGTCAACATCCACAGAGTGGAGAAGATTGCGTGCTCTTAAGGCCATTTTGACGGCTCTAGCCAAAGATATTCACCGTCTGCATGAGGCCTCCTCCACCATCCTTCAAAATGAGCAAGGTGGTAGTGAATTGAGTACACCACTGTCCTCAGCTGTCTCTCGACTGAAATGTAGAGCCAAGCGGTGCGTGTCGATTCCTGATAAGAGGAATATGAATTTTCCGAGGAGAAGTCTCAAACAGAACGATGCCGAATTAGACGAGAAAAATAAGGACTTGGTTTTTCCTCTTAACAGTCACTTACTTGCGTAAGTTTTCATATACTTATGATATCGATGGGATATCATGGTAGCTCATGATAATTGTGCGCGAAATTTCAGCATTTGACTATTTGGCGAACTCCCGTTTTAGTTGTATCGCGGCGGAAACACGTTTCCAACACGAAGCCGCTATAAAAAGGCGCCTGGGCGATCGAAAGCGTACTGTTTCCGCCAATTCTATCTTCCTTTCGGAAAGTAGCGATGAAGACGAGGGCGTTCAGGACGTAGATATGAAGATCACTCCCCCCAGCCAAGATGAATTTTACCCTGGGAAGAAGGAAAGTAGTACTGTTAAGGAAAGCCATACTGTTGTCGAGGCTGACAGTATGCATGAGCAGACCTCAACTTGTGCCTTCGAGGTACTCGTGATTCTAAACAATCTCTTTGCTGAAGGAAACAAGTTGAGGAAATGTGGGAAGCCTAGAACGGTACAGACATATCTTATGCCCACCCCATCCGTTACTGCAGCAATGGACACAATTTTCCGATGTCTTTCTGTATTCGAGGAAATGCCTTCCATTCAACGTCAAGTTATGCTTTGTCTCATAGAAATGGCATCTCTTTTTCCAGTATGTCAACAGTTTACTTCATATTTTACCATATTTTTAAACAACAAAAATTTGAATCTATACATTTGTAATGTCTCAACTTCAGGTAGTTCTGTGTAAGAACTTGGTGACCCTTGTTCAATGGGCCGGTGGTTCTGCCAATGGTCACCATTCCATGATCTTGAGGTTAGATGATGTGCACAACCTCTCTCTCTTGGGACGTCTCACATCCGTAGCCGTTCCAGCTCTTGTGCAAGCCTCTAAACATCGAGTCGATGCCGGGCTCCGCGTTCTCGACGTCTTTGTTCGCGGTCTGCCTGATCTCCCTCCCCATTTACCGCGGCGTTCGCTCGCTCTCTATGTCGGGCTTCTCCGCGGTTTGGCACAAGTTGTAACTCCCACCCCCGTGTCAGTCATCACGGAAGACGCAAATGCTTTTAGCCCTGGTGTCGGCAGGCGAGTCACCAAGCGGGTCGCTCTGCAAGGTTGGTTGTGGACGGCCGCTGCTTTCTTCCTCAACACCAGCTGGCCTTCCCATGAAACAGGTACATGCACACCATTTATGCGTACTCTCATTTTTCCTTTATATATGCACATCATTTACAAACAAATCTTTGGTTGTTCTCATGAAACGTGCATTCGCCTTTATTTTGCTCTTACTTACATGCTTCAGAAATAAGTGCGATACTTTGGGACAATGACTTCCATTGTGGTTTTGTATTGTCTCTTAAGAGGATTGGGGCCTCCTAAGATTTGATATTTGTGTAAATTGATGTTATGATGATACGGAAAGATTGAAACGGAACAGCTGTGCTACATGCTCTCGCTGTTTTTTTTCTGTGATATCTTTTACTTGGGAATTTCGGAATTTACCAATTCATTGAACTTAGTTTGCTCGTCAAGTTGATCAAACGTCAATGTATACTTTTCTTGTGGGTTCTTTTGCTCAACATGTGCTTCACTTTGTGCTCGACACCTTTAATGCACGATTTGCTCAAGTATCCACTCTGATCTGGGAAATTTTACAGCAGATAATGCCCATGTTTTGTTCAAGCGTATTTGGCTTAGCTTATCTGTATTTATTTAAGCTTGAAAGGTGATTGGGTTGCATTCATTATGGAAACTTGGAAATTAAGGGTGATTTTGAAGCTTTTACTTTGCATTTTATTTCCTAACTACTTCTAAATCGTCTGAGTTTTGTACTAGTTAGTTTAAGTACGCATTCTGTTTGATAAGATAAACTTAACATTTTAGCTGGTCTTGTTCCTCCCCTTCTGATCAACTTATTCAATCAATTTGACCTTTCGGTACAATTGTCATCATGGCAACAGTGCCTAATGTTCTTCATTGACTTACTCTGCAACTCTGATGGCATGGAAGAACAAAACGCATCCTTTCCCACTGCTAAACGGCCACGGTCGGTGAGTGTTGTAACAGTTTCTACCAGTTTCATCATTTTATCCTTTTAAATCAATTAAAATAACATTTAGCTTGCTGATGTTTAGTTTGCCTGACCTATAGTTTCTTCTGCCATTCGTTCCGTTTAGGAAACTTTAACAGCCGCTTCCCCTGATCGTCGAGCATCATCGTCCATCAGCGATTACGGGTTTCTGCTGAAGCACCTCTCTTGCTTGGACTCTTCTAGTGAAGTAACAACCACCCGCTCACCGCTCAGTCGTAAAAGATCGCGGGTTGAAAAAAATTGTCCGACTAGCGGTGTTCGTCTCTGGCCTTTGCTTTCAAAACTAAGCGCACTCTTATCAGACCTCCTCGATAGTGCCGGCCATCACCTACGCCAAAAAGAGGCCATTGATCGTGGGTCTGAGACAGTGGTTCAAGAAGCCTTCGGTAGCGTTGTTGGGCTCACCGTTCAACTACTTCTCGCGTGCTCGTCCTCTCAACTCGAAGTGTCCGGTTCTGAGGACACTGTCAGTAGAAGAAGTGCTATTCAAAATCTACAGTCTCTATTGGTCAAGGTATATCCTCTATCTATTCAGTTGTGTTTCTTTTGAATGATTTGACTTTACTCATTCGTGTTATAGATGAATGGATTGATGTCAAATCAGGTATTTTTGGACTCAGTGGCTAGCTTGATGTCTCCTCTTCGTTCCAACTTAACAACGAAAGCACTTGAGTTACTTTTGGCTAAGCTAGAGAACCTAACTGCCAAATGTCCTCGCGCATCCGCTCTTCTTACCTCTGCGTCGACAAAACTCAAGCCTTTGCCAAATATGGAGACGTCACTTGAAAGCGGTCTCATTAATATTTTCGATAAACTTTCCTCAGATCTGATCAATGTCTCCTCCTTCTTTGGCGCCAATAGAGGACAAGCTAGGCTCAACCATTTAAAATTGTTCTGTCTTCAAAAAATGGCACAGTTATTGTGTTCTCGACACCCCGATCGGTTGCTTAAGGTTAGTCTTGATGTGGAGGCCTTACTTGGGTCTGCCTTGTTGTACATCGCCTTTTCTTGTCACAGACGCTGGATGGCCTTGTTCTGGGTCCAATTTCTCGCTGGTGGCCTTCTTTTAACGAAACCGTCATCAACGCTACGCGCATTGCAGCTTATGCTGCAGAGTCGCGTTCTATGGCGTGCCTGTTTATTTTTGAGTGTCTGGCTCGCCTCCCACTTTCATTCACGTCGATTTGCGCCACTTCCGCCTCGGTGACCACGCAACTTCGTATGAGACACATTATTCGCTTTGCTCTAGATCACTCTGCTACGGCATGCCACCTTTCTGAGAAACCCGTTGGGAGCACCACAACTCTCTCCGCTGGCAAGTTTCATTCACGCGAACAGCACTTGCAGGTGAGCAGAAGGTGAAACTCGGCACTGCGTGGGTAGTCATCATGCTTGTGGGTAGATACTCGTCGCTTTTCCTACCCTATTTGAATAATTTGCAGTTATTTGGTGTTTCCATATCTATTTAGAGACATTCAAGAGGATTGAAATGCTGGCTTTTTGAATATTTTTAATCCTGAAACTACTTACATAATGAGTCTGAAACTGTTTCACACTGCATACTGTTAACTGCACTGCTCTCCTCTCCAACGGCATGCGCACTTAAGTTACTAAAATCAGCTCTGCTTTCGTTATAAATGTACAAACTTTTAACGGTAATTTACTCCCATCGCTACATTTCACTCATAGGCTGGTGTAACTCTTTTACTGGGCGCTTTCGAATTTGGCATGCGAATGTCAAAGAATTGCCGAGCGAGTCCTCAAACAAACTCAATATTAGAGAGTCTGGGAGATGAGGAGACGCCCGCTGCCCAGCATGGCGGGAATGAGCCATATCTGCCCTCTGAAACGCTGAATGTGTCCCTTTTGTCTTTCATCTTCCGCACCACCCATCTCGATCTTCTGGCTGCCACCGAAGCCAAAGCTGATCGATCAACCGTTACACTGAAGCAATGCACAGCTATTATAAGACGTCTCCGAGGCCGATTTGCTTCACTTCCTGACTCGTTGAATCTGCTTAAACTAACCTATGATTTATTGAAGGATGCAGTCCCGGAGACTAATGCAGTAGGTCTTGCTTCCATCATTTTAAGAAGTATTTATCCTTCTAAGCCATTTTTTCGGCAGTGAAGCTTTTTTTAATGTCATTCTCATATTCTGTGATAGATTTGGTGCTGCTTCACATTTATATTCACACTTATCTG